ATTGTTTTTATTAAACCAGTCGTGTTCTCGTGATAAATGTGAGTCACTACAAATTAACTTCTAAGTCTCAACCTCGAGCCCATCTAACCAATTCGTTTAAGTCAGCTTGGAGATCAAAATGCATAGCCTCAATTCTTATTGTCCTCCAGATATTTACATCATCCACAAACAATATTGTCGACAACTCAAGCAAAAACGGTAATTCATTAACGTATAGAAGGGAAAGTAGAGGGCCTAAGACGGTGTCTTGAGGTACACCACTTTTGACCAGCTTTCATTCGGATAGCGTTCCATTGACACTCTCTTTCTGCGGTCACATAAAAGAATTTCTTATCCATTCTTGTACAGCATTTATCATTCCGAAGCTCGAGAGTTTACACATAAGATCTAAGTATGAAACCTTGCCAAACGCTTTGCTAAAACCTATGAATATCACATCGACAAACAGACTGTTGTCTAGAATCGCTGTCCAATCCTCTTTCGCAATAAATCAGTTAGTCAAGCATGAGCGCTCGTTGTGAAACCCATGTTGGTCGGGAGTTAACAGATTGTGTAAATCTATGTGACTTAGTTCCTTGAACCGAAATATCTTTTCAAGTAACTTATTGACTGTGCTGGTAGTCAGATAAGATATGTCTCTGACCATCCTTAAATATGGAACTGACCAATGCATCTTTCCAATCTCTAGGGAGTGGAACGAGTGAAAGAGATATGTTGAAGAGCGTCAATGGCGCTCTTGAAATAATTTCTGCAAGAGATTACAGCAGTCGTGGATGTAACGCACCACAGCCCGGTATCTTAAAAGGTTCGAGATTAGTTACCAATGAGAGAACAGTCTCCTCAGTCACATGTGCAGATCTTATAGCTGATATCTGAGCGGTGTTATAAGAACAAGTATTTGTAACAATACACACAGAGTTGACTCCGATAAATCTTTTAAAATTCTTAGACTTTGCCCGATCTGATTCAGCTAGTAAATCTGAATTTCCGTATAAAGATGATGGGAGAATAGCATCACTACGTTTCACCCGCCGTTTAACACACGAAAACAATCGTTTCGAACAAGTACGGCAATATGCCAACTGTCGTTCGTAAGTACTACGGAATTTACATGTATTCCAGTTTGTTTTCTATTCACACATAAATGATGTGTGTCCTGTTGACAAGAATGAGTCCCAGAAGTGTTTCATACGCTTCAACAGCTTATGGGTTTCTTCTTTAATCAATGTGTTCGACTTCACCACTATAGACCTATAAAGTTACTTATTCTCGGGATCTATGTACCACAACTGGCTTCTTAGTCTTCGCTTAATGATACTACAAACAGGCCCTTCATTAACTTTATCAGAACATACCACTGACCTTTTTGTAGCACTGTCAGTTGATCCAATAAAGATTATATGGAATATTCAAAGTCGAAAATGATCAGTACCAATATTGGTAATTAGACACCGGTAGTAATGAGTAAACTTTAAGCGGCAAGTGTTCTAACTCCTATGCCACTTACTGATAGTAGCGCAGACGAACTACACGACAAGTTATTTGTAACAGCAACCGTGGTTCACAATGCCTGTATAAAAATAGTGTAGATCACCAACGTAGATGGTCTATGTCGAAATGATTGCAGGCCTACTCGAGTTAGACGTGAATGGCGTGACAAACTAGTTAACATCGAAGTCACACCTCGTGGTCAGCACCTTACGTGGACTACCCCATTAACATACCAAGGTACCATAGATGATTTGAAGACTATACAACACAGGGGACGTCGTTACAGAAATATATTAGTTAAAGTAAATACAAGCGAAAGTAAGACCACTGCCTCATGGGCCGGTCCATGACATGCGATTAACTTATGCGCGTTGGTTGTACATGACCTTGGCAGGGAGCGACGATCTGTTCGACATTCAGTGATCCAACTGCCGGGTGGTTTGGCTAGGGCTCAGTGACATTTCACTGACCCTACAATAGTAACAATGGTGCTAACGCACTAGAAACCTTCCATAACCAAAACACGACAAGTCTGTCAAGCAATATTCTTCTAGTATAAAACCAACTATGAGACAAACAAAAAGGAAGAGAGCTTGACTTCAACGTGACCAACCAAAATGGATGAATTGGCACTGTACCATGGACTCCTGACATATTTCAACCATGAAGTCAGGTATCCTTATTATTATTATTATTATTCACAAACATCTTATGGGTACATAAGTGTTGTGAAGAAACCATTTCGGGTTTCTTCAAAAAAATGCAATAATACACAATTTTCAATAATGTTAGCATTATACTTGGCATATTTAAAAACAAAATTAGAGTAATAGTAGAACATTAATAGTAATAAATCGGGTCTGTGTAATTGAGAAAAATATTGAATTGAGTTTAAAGAAGGAAATGGTGAAAATAAGGGAATAGAAATAAAGGAGACGTGAAATACGCAAACAGTTTAATTGGCGTGTTTATGAACATAAAACAAGAACAAACGACTATGTGTGTATCGTTAAATTAGTAACAAAAAATAATTAAGAAAAAATAACTTATTATCGCAGTAAGATATGACGCTAGAATACAAATGTTTGTGCAGTCATAGTTTGGAGTGATGCAATGAAAGTCTCAATTGAGTGAAAAGGGTAATGAAATATCTATATGTATGAGTCATATATGCATAGTGAAGATAAAACGGGTCTGAGAAGTTAATTTAAGTGTAACACACGTTATTGTCTTAATTACAAACTTATTTAGAGGGAAAGAAGAGAGGCAAGAGAAGTGGATACCTAGTGAAAAGTATCATGCATGATAAGAATAATAATTGTGTAATGAATCTTGACCTCAGAAGGAAACCAGCAATTTAGAAAAATAAAATAAAAATCCTTAAATGCACTCGGATGAATACATTTAGATTTATGTAATAGTATACAAAGTGAAACCGGATATTAGTATAAATATTTGTGCAATAATAATTAAGAATGATGCTATGAAAGTCACAATTAATTTCAAAGGACAGTCAGGAATTAAATATGTTAAGAAGGATAAGAAGATATAAAAGGAATATCTAATGTGTCGGGGGAACAATAATGATATTAATAACAGTAATAATTATATATACGAACATAAGCAAACTTCATATATTAAGATAAATAGAAATAAAATAAAATAGACGTGAAAAGATTTGAAGGTTTTATTTCGATTTTCAGGCACTTATGCGAACGAACTTAAACGAACTTCTTGACTACTGATATCCGCTCACCATCCAGGGTGAGTACAGGATTAGAATCCTGACAGTCTTGGTTCATACGTCATTTGTTCCCGCAGGATACTGGAGGCAGCCCATGTGCACCATTGATTTGGTGTAGGATCAGGTTAAAGCGCCGGACATTCGCTTTTCGTCCTCTCATTTTCGTATACAACACCCTCTCAACGAGAAGGCAGTGGAGTAGGACTTCCCTGGCAGAGGCTGTATACGCGTGGCCGTGTGGGAGTATTTCGAGAGGGAGAGCGAACCCCCCCCCCCGCTCTCGGCCATAACAGGGCATTTGGCAGCAACCCTCCTAATATGAGTTATTAAACAGAATAATCAATATAAGGATTGGTTATGGTGTAGTATTCATTAAAACAAAAAATACAGGCGTTCGTAAGGATGTGATTTATTTATTCAGGTCAAAACAATTTCAACCAGTGAACTACAGTTTCGAACCCTGCTCCACCTATTGAGGTTTGGACGATCAGTTCTATTTATTATTAGAGCAAGGGAATGATTTATAACCCTGATCCCACTGCATCAATTTAGGCAACTGGTTAGTACAGTTAGCTTTCACATTCAGCACGTGGCTTGAAGGTAACTACACTAACCTGGGCCTAGTAAATGAGATAATCTAACTGTCGAACATAAAAAATAATTGCATACAGACTAATAAATGGAAATCGATAGATAATACAAGTAACAACAAGATTCTGACTTCTGTTTTATTGCTTTCTCCGTAAGAAATTCCCAGTGAATTTGAACTACTGCTAGAGGACATACACTGAATACTTAGGCAGATAAGAAAGAATTGTGTAGAATGATTAGAGGCGATCAGCTGGAAATCATGAGCAGGATTTCATGCTTGTAAGGAATTATCGGTAATATGTATTAACAAGACATGAAACATTAGTTTGCTAAGGATCGAAAATAAACCTAAGTAGTGATTGTCGGCAAAAACGATATTTTCATTTAAAATAACCTGCCAGATGCTTTCAATCATACATCAACAAATGTCACCATACAGCTGATTGACTTCATTCAGAATACACCATTAATTTGAGTGACTAAATTCGATTAACAGATTAGATTATGTCGAAATTGGATTGATTATCAAAGGTGACAACTTTAACATAGCATATAAGTTTATGCATAACTAAACATGCTACATTAATTCCTCACTAATACTCCATGATGTCTTCCTTGTTGAAATATACCAAAGAAACAAGTCCTGATCACAATGACTTGTTATTAATGTTCGACTACATACTCCAATCTACCACGCCCATAACGTTTAGTTGGATTGGCGAGGCGATCTCTTGAGTATAACTGAGGCTAATGCTCCAGTCAGTTAGTCACATACAACGTAGAACCTGACACATGTGTGTCAGTTCAAGTTACCATATAACATAATCACACAGAGATAGAATTATTAAGACAAATATCAGCATTGTAGAAGTATTAACAATATCATTAGTAACCAAAAAGATTAGGTGTAGAAAAGAAACAAAAAGGCATAGGATTTAGAGAAAATAAAGTGTATGAACTAGTGCCACTGAGCACGAGTCGGAGCCATATCACTCACAGTCTGTAACCATTGGTTTCAACAGTCACCCCGACCAGATAATGTGCACCAACCTACACGACTCAGTGCAACGGGTTAATGACTCTGTGGACTGACAACACGTTCTGGTTTGGTCTACCCTAGCTTTCTTTCAGCCTACTACACCAGACAACATTGCCTGTCGAGACAGACAGTCGTTGGGCATACATGTTGCAATCACCTCAATCGGTGAAGATACACTACCTCATTAACCAATGACTAGTGTTTCGACACAGATACAGATTGATTTGATATCCATTTTACAAATAGGATGGGAAAAAAATCAATAAAGAAAAATTATCATTTACAGCTATTCAAGTCACTGAATAATGATGAAACTGGTACAAATCTGTTTTTATAACAATAAAACTCATAAATTTACTGCCATACACAGACTTACTCCTTCCGGAGTGATTGTGAATCCAGAAGCCTTTTCAACGATTAATTCCTTTAGTTCTCCACATGCAGGATTATCTATGGAACTCTTAGCTTTGATTTCTTGTTGAATTTCTATACTTTTCACTTCATCAATATTTGATTTTTTATTATTACTGCTTAGTGAGAATCCAAATATTCTTCCTAATAGAGATGATGATTTCTTTGTATTTACTTCGAGACTAGATTCTTTATAACTCTGTCCATCAAAAATAAAGATGGTTATTTCAAAGAAATTTGTTGAATAATAACCATTTTAACAAACATTAGGAAGCAATTGAAAATTAGACTGGATTGAGTGAAATTAGAACTAATAGAAAGAAATTAAAATCTAACTATAGTACGAATTATATTATTTATCACTGAGTTCCTGAGTACAAGAACACGAAGCATTATCATTGAAATTCACTTAACTGACTTATTTTCTAGTATTTAGGGAATGTTTTGTCGCAATAATCGTTAAATTAATAAAAACAATTGATTTCTGGGCTTTTATTTGATAAAACATTTTCATGTATCACCAGTCAATATTTTAATAGAAGTCAGTCAGTCAGTCAGCTACAACGTAGGACCAGGCACATATATGCATCGGTCCAGGTTGCCAGACCGCATTAGCACAGCAAGATCAACACCGGATTCATAGAAGTGGTTAATTCAATGGTGGTAATATATAAAAGAAAGATTGCATACAAAGACATAATACAGGAAGTAAGAATTAGTTTGTAGAAAGAAAGATATGAAGCGATTTTAATCTCTTAGTTTAAGGGAAGACAGAGAGTGTATACACCGACGCCATTGTGACCGATTCTGAGCCATGTCACCAAGAGTCTCCAACCATTGGTTATGACAGTCACACGGATCTCAACCAAGTAGTCTGCATCTACCAACATGGCTCAGACTAGAGGTTAGTGACTTCAAGCACTGATGCCAATGTTAATAGAAATGTATACACTAAAATGAGGTGACAACATACGTATTACTAATGATTATCATAGTCAAACTAATTTATAAAAACAAAAGAGGAAGTTAATTGTCACTAGTTTAATAATATGAAATACTAAAGACTGATGACAAAAAAAAGTGAGGGGAAAAACTGGACTATTATATTTTGTCATCGATAAGCCAACTATGCCATGTTAGTTTGTTGTAGGTAGACGACAGGAAACCCTGGACCTAGATTTCGTGCCAATTTCAATCTTGAGGGAAACGGTGCTCCGCACACGATCTGAACACAAGTTACTAGGTCACAGTTTAAGATATAGTGATGAGCCGTTTATACGGCGACTGACTTCAGATAAAACTAGGATATACACATCAGTTCATCATTAAGTAGTAATTAATCTTGTGCTTGTCTAGTCCTTGGTTCTGACTAAATTCCAGTTCCTCTTATGTAACCACTACAATCTATCAGTATTAGTAAGTAGGCGTCTAAATATGATAAGGTACTTACCATTAACTTCTTCTCCCAACATTTCGAACATCCTGTACAAATTGGAGTATAAGTAAGGCGAGCGAATTTCACACGACTTTGTTCCAGCTTTTTTTCAGATATAGTGACTGAAGAATCTGCGAAAAAATTCAATGAAGTTTTAGAATCACTATGAGGATATATTTGAGCATTGTTTTCAGATGATCGAAGCCAATACCAAGTAGATCTCCACAATGCACCAAAATTACGACTCCAAGATCTAGGAGATGAAACTGAAAGTGTTGTGAGTACACCACGGTGATCGTTAGGATTTGTTGGCTTTTTATGCCTATCACTAACACCACAACCCCCACCAAGTTCTATATCTCTCCAAATGTTCCATTCAATACCTAATAAAGAATAAGTATTCGCAGATGACGCCTTTGATTGTTCAATTGGTTGACTATCCTATTTGAAAAGTTATAAACAAACGATTTCAAAACATTATGTGTCACATAAATAAAATGATTTCGATGTAAAAATTACATGATAGGTAAGAAATGTGTAAAAAGAATGATACTTCGTAGATGAGATTGCTTATTTCAAAAAGCTTTTTAAATGGAATAGATCACTTTGTGATGTAGCCAGGATGAATACAGAATTCAGACTGAAGGCATATACCACCAAGTGTGTTTACACAATAAGTTGAAAAGATTTTCGTTTGTATTCTCATGAGGTTTAAGAACAAATACTAATAATTACTGGTACTAATCAGTTGATTTACAAATAATTTAGTAAGCCCATTGTTCATGAAGATGATGAAACACTAGTTAACATATGCCTTTAATATTTCAGCTTTTCTAGATTATCTTAATTCATCCACATTTTACTTCCTCTCTTAACCAATGAAGGAGACTATTTCTATCTTCTCCTATCCTTGGCTAACTAGAGTAAGAAATTCAGTTGTTGTAGAGAAGCTTTTCTGATTGAGATCCAGTAGAATTCAAAATACATTCAACATCAGTGATACATTGATTTAAATAATTAAAATTTAAGAACTGAGAGATTTTCAATCAGCACACATCACGAAAATACGCCGAAAAATTTATACGGTGTATAAATTAATCATTAGATACCCGATATATTACATGAACCTTTAAAATAAACGTTTTAACGGAAATTCTCTCAAATAACTAAAGTTATAATGAAATTAGGAGAGAAGGTAACATATTCACATACATGACTGTATTTATCCTTCAACTTATGAATCAACCGATTTCTAAACATAAAATGAAAAGCATACTCACAAAACACCCAGTAGTTCATGGGAGTTGAACTGACAATATGAGTAATTCCAACTATTATATGTGTTAAAATTCCATTTTATTCGTAATGCCAAGTTGTAGTAGGTTTTACGTGGATTCAATAAATAATACTGTTAGATAATTCCCATTTAAACATTAAAAATTAAAAACACGAAGTTCAGCGAAGGGATCTCTTTTCAACGAATTGATTATCAAGCTGTACAATCGTATATATATATGAAAGCATTTTTTGTTTTTACTAAAGTACTAATTCCGTGAGGAAATGTGAACACAATTAACCATGATGTAATAAAAAAGGTTTATAATACTAGATTACGTAATACGAATAATAACAATAGATTTTTTTGATTGAGATCATGCACCGATTTATGTTAGACTACCACAATTGAAAACCTGGAAGCATCGGACGGCCATTTCGTCCTATTGTGGGACTCCTCAGCAGTGCGCATCCACGATCCCGCTCACGGGATTCGTTGATTAAAATGATTAAAACGTTTTTGTCGTAATATTGTAACTTATTTAAACAGTCTGTAATTATTTTTGCATATCAGCGGTTCCCTTTGTTAAACTGAATAGACAAACAATAAAAAACTGTATATACACTTTTTGTCATGTATGAATATAATTCATTTAATGTCAAACCCGAGATAGCTTTGCTTTACGAAAATAGCCGTACCTGCAGTTTAAAAATTCCCATAGAATATTCTATATTGTTGAATAACAAGTTTTGACAAGGATTTGAAATATTGGTTACATAAAGTGTAAAAGTACAAGCCTACGTCTAACAAAATAAATGTCTGAGATAGACTCGATTATACAGCTTTATACGAACAAAGTCAATTGTATCAAATGACATTTGGGTATACGTACGTGTAATTTCAATGTAATAAATAAAAGCCTACCATTTATTTACCAAACGTCCAAATGATCCATTTCACTTTATTGAAACATGGTGCTCTAGCTTCAATTCACTCATGATCTCAACTATTTAAATAAAAAAATGAGACTACCATTCACGTGATAGTGATACATTTATACGTTTTATAAAATGTCTATATCAATTAATGTGGCGCTTATCTGTAACAGTGTTACATGCAAAATGTAATAAGAATGTTTCAATATAGTGAAAGGGATTATTTGGACGTTTGATACATAAATGGTAGGCTTTTATCTATTACATTGAAATTAAACGTACGTATACCTAAATGTCATGCGATACAATTAACTATGTTCGTATTAAGCTGAATAATCGAGTACGTCTCAGACATTTATTATGTCAGATGTAGGCTTGTACTTTTACACTTTATGTAACCAACATCTCAAATCCTTGTCAAAACTTGTTATTCAACAATATAGAATATTCTATGGGAATTTTTAAAGTGCAAATATGCTGTTGACATTACGTGCAAAACTTGTTAAGCCCAATTGACGAGCACAATAATCGATTCACATGACTACTTACATAGACAAGTACTTTTTGTCATAATTTTAAACAGCTCAACAACAAAGAATATACAGTTAAAAACAATTAACGCTTTTAATGGATTAGCAAAATAAGTCAATTTACACTCCTGCATTTATTTATGACACCATTTTTCTGGCGAAACTAAACAACTATTTTGTACTAAGAATTACTGTTTGGAAAAGAACCCAATCACATAAATATTATTTGCTACTCTCTGAGTACAATGAAGTTGGTTTACATTTCGATTAAAACTCGGATGGAACAGTCAGACAGAATTGTTTGTTTTTTTATTGGGATAGTTGAGATCATGAGTGAACTGAAGCTAGAGGAGCACCATGAAAAACATGTTAGTGTCTAACTTCAAGTAATCCACGAAATTTTTATAAATCTCAATTGATTATATTGCTTAATCACTAAGGCTTAATTAGAATTCATCAATGTTGGTTCAGTTAACCTTTCCTATAGAAATGATGTCGTTGTACTAGTGAACTGGTAGTACTACATTCGCCTATCGTAACTATATGACAAAACACTGAAACATTCTGAATAAGTTTCGCATGTACTATTGTTAGACAGATAAGTGTTCATTAGATGACATTTCCTATACGAAATCGTTTACTTAAACCGTATATTTGATAAAGCTTAAAAAGCGTTTACGAATACGTGGACGATAATCACATAATGATTATTAATCTTAAATGAATTTTGATGGTTTCATCACTTGACCTTTGCCATGGAAATAAGGAATTAAAATAAAATAATTCAAATCACATTGTGGGTGGCCCTGAAAAGGTCCTTTAATCGTTCTCTTAACAGTTCGGAATTTCATGAACAAAGGAGTTGTTATGATTCCGTTATAGCGCCGCACATGGGACAGTGGATTCCATGGACATGTGGTGACGGGTGATAAGCACAAAATAAATGAAACATTGCTTCGCATCGACAAAAAATCTAGGCACTTCCGTCAGCAAGATGACAGAAGGACGTTGAGTGTTCACGGAAGTCCTTTATGAAAAGTTATGATAACACTAGTCAAATTACCTCCTTCGATCGATAATAAAAATTGGTCGTCTATATTAACTAATTAGCTTTGATGGTTGGTTAACAAGCTTTAATAGCATTTACATGTTTAAACACCAAGCTCTAGCAACTATGACCTGTAAATAACGTAAATATACATTGATTAACAATGCTATCAAGGACTAAATAGTTATCTAGATCTAATTCTTAGTGTTCCTTCACTTAACACCTCATCCTGTTTTAGACTATGCACTATCCTGTAATATATTTTCTTCCGACCACTGCCTGCCTAATTTCATATTTTCGAGTTCCATTGCCAAACAAAAAGGATGACACTACTCCAAAAACATACGGTGAGTTTCAGCTATAAGTTTTCTGCAATCATAAGGTCACTTTAGATGGCTCGTTCAGTGGCAACCACTCAATTATCTGGATTCATTCAATTGTTCTGATCCGAGCGAGTGGCAAAAACGTCAACAACATCAAGCACCCTGGAATTAATTGTCATACTGCTATGTTTTATTCTGGATGCTTCTGGATCATTACTACTCACGAATGGCGTTATATATGTCGTCCACTGAATAATCTAATTTTCAAAAATAATTCAGGCGAGTTCAATCATTTTACTGGATGATTTTTTGTACTTAACATGTATGTTTTCCAGTTGCTTCTGCCATATATTTGTAAGTGTCCCTAGGCTAAATGAAGTATCTTCTTATGGAATGTTTATAGCGCGTCATATTCCTCTGCCTGAAGTTCACAAGCAGTCTTAACTTTAAAATTATTTTTCTGGTCATGTTCATTATTTTTAAATTGTTATATACGTCAAGAACATGCATGTTAACCTGACCCGTACAAGCATTACATTATATCTTCATGTCTTCTAAATTTATAAATCAATAAACCCATCATAGTCGTTGTTGCTAATCATATCTAGGTTTATGGATTGGTTTATCATATTAGCAGCCTAAAATGCGAACATAGTTTAGATAACAAGATTGAAAACTTACGTACTATCAACTGCACTAGTAAAATAACTAAATTCTCAGGTATTTGTTGGCTAAACAAACGTTTAAAATCAAAACTCTGGAGCCTACTAAAATTAACGCTAGACGAATATTTTCGAATTGAAATTTCTAGTATGATAAGGTAGCTCTGATTCTTTAACGCTACAAATTTCTGATAATTTCGGATCACCTAAAGCAACAATACCTATTTTTCCACTGACTAATCCTCATTCAACCCTATAACTAGTTTAACATAATAGTTTCAGGATATCGTCATAAAGCATTGTCATGACTTGACAATCAAGCAATATGATTGATAAAATTAATGAAACTATTAACAAAACCGGTCAACAAATTGACTTATAATTATCACTAGTGTTGTTTTTCTTTTATCTTCATTCTAGAAAGATGATTACAGTATGTTTCTCTATCAGATGCTCATTCAGTAAATATCTCAAAACCTTGTCAGTCTAATTGATGGTTTAGCGATACAATCATGCATGCAAATAATCAGTATAAGCAGTCGAGAGAATCTCCTGCAAACTGAAAATATCAAAGTCGAATTCACGCGAATACTGACTAAGGTTCAAGCCATTATCATAGACATGAGTTGCGAGTGTACTTCCTTTGGTTACAACTTATGTTCTCCCTAATAATCACATGAGCATCACCCACTGTTAATCATCTTGTCAAAACTTATTTAGCCGAATACATCTTGCAGCACCACATCACCTAGTAATGTGACACAGGCTAAACTGATTTCAATAACTTATAATCACTATATCTCAATTAAATCGTATTCCGCCTTATGATAAACTGTATGCTTGCAACTAACTTGTATGCACCATCAGCCTGCAGGTATAAATATAAATAAATAGTTTGTGGCAACGCAGAACATTGAGTCTAGAGCATGTCTCTTACGAATACACTCATGTTCTTAGCTATCTGTCCAAAATTCACATAATTATCACTCACGTATTTAAGTTTTGTTGTGATAACCATTCATGCGTATTAGTAGTGCTACTAAATTCTATCACGGTCAAGTAAAAATAAGGTTGAGAAAATCTCCCCGTAACTAAATAAACCGCATCAAACTAATTGGAACACTAGTTGGAATTCTTTTCCATGGTAATACTTTTGTTCTTTCAGTTAGCCTACTAAATGAGATGCAATTGGAAATCACATATGAACAGGTTACCGGCATAGTCGTAATTTGATTTCAGAATTTAAACTAAAACTAATACCAATATTAACATTTATATAATATTGATTGTTATTAATATATCTCAACAGAAAATACCTACTACCTATAAGTTAAGTTATTAAACGGCTATTAACACGCATCTTACGTTTTATTATTATTATTATTATTATTATTATTATTATTATTATTATTATCCTATTTTCTATAGCCCAAATAATTCTCACCCAAACTTTCATTTTAAGCGTGTTAAGCATTAAACCGGACATTTTAAAATTATAACATGTATTTCCCGACCAAATACTGCCACCATTTGATTTATCTTTCAGCTTATCAATACCCGGAGGATCCCTACTATTCTTAGTAACCTCAGGCACACGACAATCCTATATAATTTGGTACCGAACCAATATCACGTTGGTTCTGGTGGGAGAGTAGTGTAGTGGCAGTGGACCACGTGGCCATGTGAGAGCATTTCTAGAGAGGGAGAGCGGACTTTCCCCACTCTCGGCTGTACCAGGGCATTTGGGGGCATCACCTCAGTCGGTGAAGATTCACAACTTCATCAACCGATTTACCATCATTCCCTAATACCCTGTGTCTAACCTCACTATTACTTACCCGGTGATCCATCAGTATGTCTATGATGAAGTTAAACAAAAATGGAGAAAGTGGACAGCCTTGACGAACACCACTCGAGGCTGCAAAAGCAGATGACTGTTCGCCATAAGCCCTGACTCGACTAGTAGTGTTCGAGTAAAGAGCCTACACAAGGTTTATGTACTTCTGAGGTACGCCTTTCAATGACGGACACTGCCACAGAACCTCTTGGTCTACAGAGTCAAATGCTGCCTTTAAGTCAAAAAAGACCACCATTGTCGCACGCCGATAAGAATGCCTTTGTTCTAGAACCTGACGAATGGTGAATATGTGGTCGATGCAGCCACGACCAGGTGTGAAGTCAACCTGATTTTCTCGTGTTTGCAGTTCACACGTCATTGTTATGTGCACAATAATTATCGAGGCTAGTATTTTAGATGCTATGTTAGTCAAACTAGTCCCTCTATGATTGTCACAAGATGATTTTGGGACAATAAGTGATTGCGACTAGTCAGATGGGATAACGTCTAACTCCCAGATCTTAGCTAAAATATTAGTCAGCCTAATCATCAAAATTCGACCACTATCCTTGAAGACCTCTGGAGCCGATCCATCTGCTCTTCCTCGTTTCAGATTAGCTATAGCCTTACGAACTTCAGCTAGAGTTGGGTGACCTACTTCAATGTTCCATTCACGCTAGCTGGGAATGTTGAGTAATTGTAGAGTAGCTGAAGGCCAGATGAACTGTTCTTTAAGGTGTTCCGCCCATCGTTCTAACCGTCTGGGCTGGGAGCAGATAATTGCCGTTCTTTTCCGGGATAGTTTCACTTACACTTGTCGTTTTAGTTCCAGTTTCTTTTATGAGTCTGAAGAGCTGTCTTGTGTTACCTATAGCCACCGTCTTTTCCACCTATTTTGCTTTCGTTGCCCATCACTGCTCACGGTCGTTCGTTAGACTTTTGGTTAACCTATATCTGATTCGCTTTCGCTCATCATCGTGTTCAGAGCCTGATTGGATGGGTTTACGAGAACCCATCAGTGCAATAGACCTTAAAGGAATCCATTGGTTTTTTGTAACCCTTTGGTTTAAATCACTAATAGATGTCACTGCTGTTTCCACAGGTGTTTGTATATCTTAACTAAGTGTGACCTCAGTTGTTCCTGGAATCTACTTTCGGCTTTCTCATCACTCAATTTAATTCTAATGAGTCTTTTTAATGTGGCTTCTCTTCGACCAGTGAGGTGAAAGTAGATGCGTGCCCGTATTAGGGCATGGTCGAAGTCCAAGCAGGCATTCCAGAACGAGCGACAATCTTCTATCGAGCATCTCCGTTGATGACTGATGGCAATATGGTCTATTTGAGTTCATCGTTGGTTTGGTGCAGGGGGTCGCTATGTTATTATCTAAATACTTTTTCAAATGGGTGTTACCATTTAGTTGTCAGAATATCTTTCGTGTTACTTAAATAAAAGTTACATTAAAAATGTATCCTATGTACAAATTCAAGTTATTTACAAGACAACTCATAGACATGCTACACAATTCAGTACTATCTCACGGCTCTTGTATTTATTTAACATTCCAGACATTTACTCATTAGCTTAAGCCAATGCAAATAGCTTCGTTAGGTGATTTCAGTACAACGTGATTTCTAGCAGGCTTGTTACCTGATCCCTGCCGGGAAATCAGGTTGATATTTTTCATTTTAGTCAGCTACTTTAAGCTCCACTTGTCTCCATTTCTCTTTTATTGTGAAATTCAAATTAAGTGCATGGTGATGGTGCAACACTAAACTAGTGACCATGATAGAGAAAAAGAAAAAACGTATGTTTAAAACAATATATGACAATAAAACCAACAAATATGTTAAAACCAATAAAACAAAATGTGTGAATAAAGTGCAAAATCATGAAATGTGCAAGATAAAATGCAAAAATAAATACGAATTATGGTATTTACCATGAACCACATTATATTGTGTGGTTATTTAACAGATAACTTAGTTAAGATGAATGATGATGTCATCATTTACCCAACTTCTGTTGAGGATATGTCAGCCCTGATGTATGGCAACCATTCATCAGGAGGTTTCACCATGAACAAGAATGTCTCAATTATTGATGCAACTTCAATCAATGTTTTATTATCATTCTTGTATGATAATGCATCCTCTAAAGGCCTGCCAATCACATCCCAATTGATTGGAGGTTCCAGCACCCCATATTCCTTAAGCTTGTTCTCAACCTCTTTGACAAGAATTTTGGATGACCGCAGTGCTGCTTGTTGGTAAGATTTCAAGTTACTCAAGGTGCGTTTCTTGTCACCAATTACACTGTCACGTATAACAGCACTTGCTAAACTTAGGATGTTAGCATGTTGGCTGAATGAATAGGCCATATATCCCATTAATGGTGAACATCTCAACAAACAATGTATGTTGTCAAGGCATGGTCTATTAGCAAGACGCCTTGTCTTGTGGAGCTGAATGGTGCATGAGATGAGGCAGATAGGGAAGCACATTGCAACCCTTGAGAGTGTTATGGTTCTGCGCCTGTCCATTCCTCGTAAACTTGGTTTCAAATTATATTTCATTATAAGATTGTCTAGGATGGCGACACTCTCTTTAGACATACTCATTCTCATTTTTGAAATATTATTGCCCCAGATCATGAATATTGTCAACATGTCTTCGATGTCTTTCAACAATTTTTCACGTGTTTCTGACTTGTTGCACAGGTAGGAATAAATCCATTCTGTGTCCACACCTTCATATTGAAACAAATTAATTATGGACATGTCCACAGTCCAATTAAAAGCTTCTCTATTAAAAGCCACTCTAGTTTCTTGAAATTTATCGTATTCTTCAATGATCAAATTAGGATCTTTACACTCCTTCAATCTCTTAAAGAACTTCTCGGGAATCACTTCATTTGGTTCTTGAATTGTTACATCAGATTTTCCTGATGTGCTGGCCGTACTTTGATCCAAGGACTTGTTTTCTGATTTCTCTCCAGCTGCTTGAATGGAATTTGAAAGCTGACATAATTTAAGAGGGTAAGTGGGGGGAAATGAGTGAATTAAAAGTTGGTTTAAGAGTTACATTTATCTATTTATATTGTGTTATATATATATATATATATATATATATATATATTCATTTATGTCAACTGTTTCACACTATTTCTTATCTCAATGTAAAATTCTATTACATATTTTGGTTGTAAGCAGCTGACGATAAACCTCCAAATATTATGAATTCATACTATTCTGCATCAACATTTGTTCTTGCTTTATTTAAATTCATAAAAGGAACTAATTGCATGAGACTTGTTTCCTTTTGGAACAACAGGTTTGTTGGGCACGGTTGATTTATATATCTCGTTTTAAATTGTATGGAAGGTGCTGCTTATCGTTACCACTGATTTGTTCCGTTGATTAAAATGTCTGACTGTCGGTGTAACCAAGTAAGTTATTTTTTCATAGATTTAATATAATGGACACCAAATATTTACTTTTATTTGAACACATAAATATTGGTGCAAAGGGGCACCGAATACAATATGCACCACAACATCTCATCATATGTGTGTGTGAGCTGTGATACTGCCCGGGTGCCCAGACTGAAGCAGGTGGTTTTCTTAGGAGGCCACACCCCGAGCCTTTGACCTGAAGGTATGACACACAAGGCAGTGGAGCGTCGTGAGATGCATTCCCATGGTAGCCGGTGACCAACGACTGGTTCATACGCCATTTGTTCCCGCAGGATACTGGAGCCAGCCCATGTGCACCATTGGTTCGGGGTCCTGTTAAAGCATCGGACATTCACTTTTCGTCTTTTCATTTTCGTAAACAAAACCCCCGTCACGAGAAGGCAGTCAGTACGACTTCCTTGTCAGAGGCTGTATACGCATGGCCGTGTGAGATCATTTCGAGAGCGAGGGCGTGCCCACCCCACTCACAGACATACCAGGGCATTTCGGGGCAAATTCGTCCTGTAAATTTTTTTTATTGCACTTATTATATCTATGGCCTAATGTTCATTTCTTTACGTTTATGATATAATCTTCATCTGCTGTCCATTCATATATGGTTGATTCATAAAAATATGGCATTTGAAAATAAAGTGACTTGATCGATAGAACTGAAAACAGTTTTAGACATCAGGGTAAAATAGAAATTTCAGTAAGAAATTGTTATCTGCAAAACATGAAACTAAATTATACTTGCCCCCGAATGACCTGGTAAGGCCGAGGGTGGGGAAAGTCAGCTCCCCCTCTTGAAATGCTCTCACATGGCAACATCATTACAGCTATTGTCAGGGAAGGCCTACTCACTTCCTTCTCGCAGCGGTCGTGTTGTTTACCAAAGTGAGAGGATGAAAAGCGAATATACAGTGCTTTAACCGAGTTAGCGAATATGAAGGATACATATAGGAGAGTTGGAAAACCCTGATTCCAAACCAATGGTGCATATGGGCTGGCCCCAGGGTCATGAGGGAACGAATGCCGTATGCACCTATCTTTGGTCACCATGTACCATGGGACTGCATCTCCTGACGTCGCCCAACTGCCTTTTGGGCTAAACCTCTAGGTCAAAGGCTTGGGGAGTGACCTCCTAAAAAAACCACGTACTTCGGTTTGGGCGCCCGGACAATATTCCGGTCCTTGCAAAAATCGAATTTTCTGTGTTACGCATACATATTTGCTGCCTACTTATATATCAGTGTGTCTTAATAAATAAATAATAAGTAGACGAAAATACAAATATACTTGACAAGACTATAATTTATGGACGAACCAATCAGGTTTAATGTAGCTGGTCTTGGATTTCGGGGCGAAATTCATTCATACATATGACTAAATAGCATTTTAACATTATAGCCGACGTCAGTTCGCATTGAAAACCCTAACTCTAATTTTTAACCCTAACTTACAATTTTAAGTCCAAATTATAATTCCAAACACTAATTTATAAACCTCTTTAGACGCTAGCTAGTAGGTGAAGTATTTTAAGTTCACCTTCACATTGCTCAAAGACTGTCCACAAATCAAATTTCCACATTAATCTTCATTTTGTGTTGAACTATGTAACCCATCCAGTGTTAACACTGAATGAGCGAACTCCCCTCATCCCCCATTGCATAATGAAAAATGTCAATTTCCATCCCATTTTTGTTAAGGTCAAGACTAAAAAGGCCGATTCTAGAACTAATTGTACGTAGCGTTACCATTATATGAGGACCTTTCTGAACACAAATCGTGTAGCAATTTCACCGACGTAATTTCTGATGAAAAAACCTGTCCATATATCAAAACAAAATGCCAACCCAACTAAATAAAATTGTCCTTTACCAACACAAGAGACATTCAATCCAATTTCCCAGAATTATTGAAAATTTTATCATCAGACTTGGGGAAATGTGCATAAGAACTGCGAAACCAATGCCGATTCAGGATTTATTCTTCAGAAATTTTCAAGGACATTTGAGATTCCCATGATATGCCCTGAAAATTTACTCAAAGTTGAGGAACTCATCACACGAAGCAACGAATTATCCGAAACACTTAACACTTCATACAACAGACAAATCATATCCGCAAGTCAAGTGATGAGCTTTCGAGACGCAAAAGACACCATAAGTGGGGAAAAAATACTACAAGTGCGCATGCTGTCTAGATATTAAAATCACATAAGTGAGTCGAAAAAATTGATACAATTTATGGCTATACATTTACAATCAATATCCTTAACCGATACCCATGTGTGTTCATGGCTAACTACGGAGCACATATAGATTCCTATATCACTAGATAAGAAAGGATCTTCAAAGTAAATGCGTGGGTCAGTGAAATACCTAAATTTAAGTAGTCTATCCTCCTCTATATCAGTGACTAAACCAGGCTGTCCATTTACTATTATAACATTATCAGGCTTAAATGAAGTTATTTTAATATTCTGATATTACATTTAATTTCCTTCTCGACTTCTATCAATTAAACATACACTACTGTTAAAGCCAGTTACCTTTTACGGTGCTTTCATTAGGAAGCTCACTAAATGAAAGCAAGTTATGTTTTTTCATGAAAGCTGCTCGTATTTTATCCCACCTTCTGTTATAAGTCGATCTATGACAGCCAAGGACACTTGACAAGTTCACAGTCGCCCTACGTCTACGAGCTTTCTCAGTGACTTCAATTAAACTCATAGTATTGGAGTAACAAGGTAATTAGTTATAAAGAACATGAAAATCGGAGAGCAGGTCACTCACCTCCATCACGTAAGTTATTTGTGATTGACATTAAATGCACGGCCATTTTTGTATTTTTTTTCGAGTGGAATTTTTTTCATCCCTTTAGAAAAAATTTTGCATCCCCATCTTCCAATAATTTTCATTCTGTTTCATCCAATCAAATAGCTAGTTTTAAAACCCCAACAGACGTAAAGGTGAAAAGCGACATTTCCCCTTTATTTACGCTATCGTCGGAAAACATTTACTGCACGGCCATTTTTGTATTTTTTTTTTCGAGTGAAATTTTTTTTCATCCCTTTTGAAAAAATTTTTCAGCCCCATCTTCCAATAATTTTCATTCTGTTTCGTCCAATCAAATAACTAGTTTTGAGTTCGTTATAATTGGTCGTTTATTTCTTCAAATCGATATAAAATATCAGGACATGACAACAGACCACATTTTCTCACAATTATGGACGGTGGTAACATGCAGGACGCGAGCTCTGTCGTTCCTCACGCTGTCACAGAAACCGATAACCTGTTCGTTCTTGAGCACATTGTACGTCGTAACGTCTCAATCACTTGACGAGCTCCATAAGAACTTATGAAACAGCTGCGTACTGCCGTTATGTGGTGAGGGATTCTCATTTACCATAGAGATCGGAAGCCGTATATTAGATTCGTATGTTGGAGAAATGGTCGTAGAACATCTAGCGGTTCTTCACAGCCGAGTAGACGAACGAGGTAATTTAATTAGTGTTATTTTAATTTTTCATTAAGGACTACCGTAAACACTCCATGTCCTTCCTTCGTATTTTGTAAGTTACCAACTGTCAAAATAATGTCGATATGGATGCAACGTTGAGGAATGACGAGGAAGAAATTGTTTCGATTAGGTCAGAGGAGTTCACTGAACGAGGCGACGACAATAACGAAGACGTGTATGACAACAGAGTTTATGATATTTGCAATCTTGCTCAACCGCCACATGAAACTGCTGATGGAAGTACCTGAGTTTTTGTCCATGCGAAGCAATGCTTCATTTATTTTGTGCCTACGACCCATCAACACACGTCCATGGAATCCACTGTCCCATGTACGGAGCTATAATGGAATAATAGCAACGCCTTTGTTCATGAAACTCGGAACTGTTAAGAGAACGAGTAAAGGCCCTTTT